GCCAATTCGAGCCCGTCAACCCTTCGTTCCGTTTTCGATCGATTCCCGAGAACGGTACAAGGCTCGACCCGTCTCTTTTAATATTATGTATCGTTTATGTTGTGTTCTTGATTTTTGAATGTGATTATCGAATACATACGAATATGCCTATGTTAATTTTGTGTTCGTGAGTTTAAATATGTGTTGAATATACGTACACGATCTCTTCAATTTTGAGATATCAAACGAGACTTCATCGATTCGTGAATTGGTCGTTGTGGATTGGAACCTGTATCGTCCTTAGTCTTATGGCGAAGACTTCGGACGAATTCGTCGTAAAACGAGTCGTAGAGAAATTGTCGAACTTTATTTACTGCTATTTTAGTATTGGAATTATTAAAAATTATGTACTGCCCCGTTTGTCTTGAAATTTTGAGGGTCATGTCTTCGGTTGAACATCTGACTTGTGTTAAAATTTCGTAATTGTTCAAGGTCCGTAGCTATTTTAATAAAATAGAATGATTTCTGGTCAGTTTCATGTAAATTGCATAATAAATTGTATAGTGATCGAAATTAGCTGAAATTTGAGTATGTTATACCTCTGTTATGATCGTATGCTGTGTAAAATTTTTAGAATTTGTGGACTAAGTTTGATATGGTACAAAATTTATATTCTGATTCTGCAGAAAGTTTTTTTATTTATGATAAATGGGTCTGATGCTGAAAATTTCTGAAACTTGGCTAGAATACTTGTTTAATGTGTGTTTTCATGCTGTTAAAAGATAAGAATTTTTGGCGTTCATTGGTTTAGTTTTAATTAAAATTGGATAACTACTGAAACTTGTAGGAATTTTTAAAATTCGTACAAGTTTATGATATGTTGTCACTCTCATGCTGAGTTTACAGGGCTGAGTTTTTGATATGTTGTCACTCTCATGCTGTAGTTTATGGTATAAAAATTGCATAGGCTAATTCGTTCATTTGATCTGGTTGCTAAATTATGCTCGTTTTGCCATAAACTTGCTCGAATTTTATAAAATATCACACTTTGAGTTTGGAGCTGATAATTGGTGTTTTTTCTTATCTTTGGGAGATGAAATTTTAGTTAAAATTTCAGAGCCTAACTCATTTGATAACCTGGCCAACTCGTTTTTGTGATTAAAAACTAGTATTTTCAAATATATGGTTTTTGTTTTAAAAACTGTAAACCGACTCGCCTTCCGTTCCTTTGAGTGTCTGACTTGGTCAATCTTTGTTTTGGATTATGTGAACTCCCATGTGTATTTGGTTGAGTCTTAGTGTCGAGTCTAAGTGTTCCAACGTCCACAGGACTTCACGAACAACTTAGTTGATGCAAGTTCGACTAAGTATGATTGTGTTTTCCGTTTAAGTCAAATAGATGTTGATTTTAGCATCTGGACTTAATGTAGATGTTTGACGAGCCGAGCTTGCAGCCTATTCGTGCTTTCGTGTTATCTCATATTCGCGACTAGGTGGGTTGTTATTCTAAAATCGTTTATGCAATAAATTGTTTACCTTACTTGTATATGATCAATGTATGCTTACGAATCATGTGGCCTTAGATGTGAGCTGTACCGGCCGTCGAACGGTTTTCCCGTATTTATGAAATGAAAACCCGAGGGGTTACTCCTACTGACTGGGCATCGATAGAAGCCCATGGGGCATTAGATGTGTAAGACCGGAGGGCATAGACGTAAAGCCCATGGGGCATTCGATAGAAGCCCGAGGGGCATTCGATAGAAGCCCGAGGAGCATTCGATAGAAGCCCGAGGGGCATTCGATACGTCTACCGGCAGTAGTCTATTGGTATAGATGTGCACATGAGTCTAAACACTTTGAATTTACGATGAAACCTGGGATACTTAAATTGATTCATATACGTGTTGTGATCGTACTATCTCCATTACTGTTTTGATATGTAAATGTTTATTGCATAGTGGTGAGCACTATGATTTCCAACTGTGCTCCTCCCCACCTGACATTAACATTTCAGGTTAAGCTAGGAGGGTACGACGGCGGAGTAGAGTGAGTGGTAGTCGGTCTATGAGACCGGTCATTAAATGATTTTGCTTCCGCTATATTTATGACTATTTACGATTTATGCATTTTCAAACTTGAGAATTTATGAAGTATTGAGATATTGTTGGGGAGATGCCCCGTTGACATTGTCATGTCTTAAAACTTAAGGTTTTATTTTGGAAACCCGTTTTGGTAAAATGGTAATTTATGGATTTATGGATCTCGGTTTGGGAGTTTGATTTATGTTATGAATTGATGTTATGTCGTTTGAAAAATAAATGAGTAACGCCTTAAATATGTTTGAAATAAATTTTGAAAATTTATTCTGATTTTAGGCAAATAAAAGTGGGGCGTTACAGCACGGTCGTCTGCTCCACCAGCGCCATCTGATCGGATAATGTCCAAATCAGCGGGAATCTGCCGAAAAAAAGTCGTCCCAGCCGTGGATGCGAGCCACGCAAACTTCCCAAAAATCCCGACCTAAGAATTGGACCTCGGCGGGATAATTTCGATGGCTGTGATATCAAGTGTGAAGAGGGGCGGCGAATTCGATGGTGAAAGGGCAATTCAAAGGCAATCTTCAATTTCACAATGACACATTATTTACTCTGTTTGAGAATTTGAAATTTGATAGGGCTTGATTGCAATTTCACAACATTTGATTAAATGTCAATTTAACCCACGGGCCAAATCTGTAATTTTTAAGAAATATGTAAAAAATATTAAATAAAAAATATCAAAATACTAAATTCATTTTGATAATATAAATAATAAAGTATTTTAGTTACTTGAGTTAATTAAATGCGCCTTACAATAATACAAAATATTAAATAAACAATTATAAATACTAAATATATCTGTATAAAAATAGTTGCACTTTGAATGTACATAATTGTTGTACGAACTGCACATTAGTGACTAATAGATTGCACTATAGCCACCGAGACAGCAAGATACAAGTTTTGGTTCGAATTTAGATATTTGTTTGATTATAGTTTTGTACTTTAAAAAATTTGGGTACCTAATGCCGATGTCTACTTTATTCGTTAAAATAATTGAACCGACCGACAGTAAGAAAAATAGTATTTTGTTTTACAAAAAAAACAAAAATAATATAAGATATTTCATAGAAACATTAAAAATACTAAATATATTTTGGATTTAGTTCGGTTTGACATAAATTACTAAAAAAATATATGTGCTTTGAGTGCACCTTAGCGTTAGTCGAATTGCACATTAATGATTGCCAGATTGCACCATACCGATCGAAACTGAGTGAACTAAGTTTTTGGTTCGAAATTTATATGTCGGTTCTATTATCTAGTTCTACCTTTAAAATTTTAGTTATTTCATTTCGATTTCAAATTTACTTTTTAAAATAACCGAAATAACTTAACGGACCAAATTATATAAAAAGTATTATTTTTTGTACTTTTTTTATAAAATAAGATTTTTTTAACCAAAAAAATATAAAATGATAGATAAAAATATTAAAATAATAAATAATATTTGAAATTCATTTATTTCGGTTAATTTGATTAACCGATCAAATAACTAGTTAATTGTGTTCGGTATTAAATTGGTTTGAAGCAAACGATCGGTTGATTTAGATTGCACAATAAGGACCATAATTTTGCACAATACCGTTAAACGGATTGCACATTAATGTATGTGGTGCTGTACATCTGCACATTATAATTGTTTTAACAACCTCCGTCGAGCCAGCAACCGCAATCGTCGCGTCATCAAAATCCTCATCTTCTGAATAGGTAGGCAGAGAAGATGGGTTGCAGACGAGAGTTCGAGCAATGCGTGGGTGACGGCATATCGTATTCTATCACCGGTGAAGTCAGCCGGACTGAGATGAAAGTGACATGGTGAGACTACGAGCGCCTGCGGTCTTCTGTATATATTATTACAGCGAGAGCACGCGAAAGAGAGAGAGATGGTGTGACTGAGATGATGACGTCAGATCGCGGGTGGCGGCAGTGATGGGCGGCATCTGCGTCAGAGTGGTGGGGGATGCATCAGGTTGTTCGGCGGAAGTCGGGGACGTCGACAGGAGGTGGGTGCGACTGTGGCGGCGTCCACTGGAAGGGCTCTCGTCGGCATCGGGGTTGGTGTCCTGCGGGCGGTGGATCTGCAGGCCTGCATCGAGGGCATGTGTTAGGTATGCGTGCGTGATTTGTGAGGGATAATAATGGCTGGAATTAAGTTGTTGTGGGTGAGGCCCATTGGTTGGGTGATGGAGTCAACATTACATAATTACCCTAAGATGGTTACATTTGATCCAATTATGTTTAATTATTTATACTTATGTCCCCATGATTTAGACTATTTTTAATCAATTTTGACTTCATCATAGCCAGTGATGTGGTAGATCCAATGCTCCAAATTTATTCTTTCATTATGAGTCATTCTCATATGATCCTTTATATATATATATATATATATATATATATATATATATATATATATATATATATATATATATATATATATATATATATATATATATATATATATATATATATATATATATATATATATATATATATATATATATATATATATATATATATATATATATATATATATATATATATATATATATATATATATATATATATATATATATATATATATATATATATATATATATATATATATATATATATATATATATATATATATATATATATATATATATATATATATATATATATATATATATATATATATATATATATATATATATATATATAGTCACGCTCTGATGGGAAAGGTGCTAAACGAAAGAAATAAGAATAATCTATGACCAAAAGATCACTAGGTTTGGATGGACACGATACGAGCAGGTAAATCATTCACGCCAAATAATAGCAGGGTAATAGTGTAATTTCATCTGATACATTAACGCAAGCTCATAGCTGCAGGAATCCACAGCTGGGGGAAAAATCGCTCTTGGATGATAAAAATACCCCTAGCTCCGCAAATTCGAAAATCCTGACGGGAGATTCAATCTGAAATATTTGCAAAAGATCACCTATTTCGAGGTTTCTGATCAATTTTTGGGCGCTCGAAATCGATTTTTTAGCGATGGCACGAGCAGGTTTCCTTACCGCGAGCATTGTAAGCCAAAGCTCGACCGATTGTAAAACTCCGATCCAACATACACAGTCCGTTGTTGTCAACCTCACTACATAGATCAGGTATGTTGAACATTAATCATATTTTGTAATATATTCCAATTATTATTCAATTTTTCCAATCTACAACCACTGTTCGTATATCGATTTTATGGATCTAAATTTGCGTCAAGAACAGCCAATCTAGCTAAAAGGATTCAGGATTTTTTTTCCTTTTATCTTGTAATAAACAATTACTGTTGCAACATATGGAGTTGAACGACACCCAATCAGGTACAATATGAACTTTCTGACATTATTTGCTTGAATTTAATTGAAGACATTTGAACAATATGCGATCTTCTTAAGTGGATCGGGCAATTTAGTATCTTTCTTCATATTATTCAGTTGGACTAAAGTGCATAACTTAGATTATATAGTGCACTATCTTCAGCATAAATGTGCACTTTACTGATGTATCCATTTCTATCTTAACTTGTTTCAGGACGAGCTTCGACTGACAAATCACACTACCATCGACTTTTGATATCATCGGGGGGCACTAAATTGGATACCCCAATGCGAGGATGCACTAAAGCCTCACAATGGACAATGATTTAGAGCTTTGAATGAAGCAGTCGAGTTCTAGCAACTGTATGCTTCTACTGTAGGATTTGACATTAGGCACAGCACGTTGGTGAAAGAACGAGATAAAACGATACTTTAGAAGTACTTGGTGTGCTCACGTGAAGGCTACAAACAACACATAAACACATGTCAACCGGTGCCAAACGAAAATTGAGTAAGAAGACGTAGAGTATCCAACCGAGTAGGATGTAAGGCCCGAATTATGATACGATTCGACGGACGTAACATATATGTTGTTAAGTTTTGTAAAGAAAAACATAACCACACCACGATACCTGATTAGTGCATATCACAGTTGAAGATCAATCGAAGCATGACCGTTGCACATCAAAGTTTTTTCCTCAATTGTATTAAAGCCAATATCGGATTCATAAAGTCGTACAAGTTGTACAAGGAGATGGTTGGAGGGTATTCAAAGATTGGTGCCACCAACGTGGATTTTAAAAACTTCAAGAGGGAACTCCTTCCGTACATTGTAGGCGCTGATGCTCAGTTGGTTGTCGATAAGTTTTATAAACGGCAAGAAAATAGCTCAGCCTTCTATTTCCACTATGAATTGGATGATGATGACTGCTTACGAAGTCTTTTCTGAGCTGATCCGATATCGAGGCGAAACTACAGTTATTTTGGAGACGTCATATCATTCGACGCAGCCTACTGCGCCAACTGGTAAAACCAATCTTGCACTACTATGATATGTGTGCAACATGATATCAAACAGAACACTCGTACATTATACAGACAATATGCGTTGTTGCTTATATGGTTATATCTTGTAGGTATAATATGGTTTTTGCACCTTTTACCAGGATAGACAACCACGGAAAATGTGTAATCTTTGCAGCCGCCTTGATATCAAAAAAAGACGTGGGTTCATACATGTGGGTGTTTGAGAACTTCAAAAACGCCATGATTCAAGAGCCCAACTACATAGTCACAGACCAAGATCCCTCAATTGAAATTGCCTTCATCAAGGTATTCACTAGTACCAAACATCGCTTTTGTACATGGCATATAATGAACAAACTATGTGATAAGGTCGGCCATGCTTTGAATAATGATATAAATTTCAAATGGAGAATTAATGAACTTGTTGGAGTCGACTTATAGAACCTGTTGAATTTGAAACTAAATGGGCTTCGATTATGGAGGATTATTCATTAGACACCATAGCTGGTTTAATGATCTATATGCTAAAGAAGAGCATTGGATACCGGCTTACTTTAGGGATGTTCGAATGAGTGGTTTGATGAGGACTACGTCGAGATCGAAAAGCGAGAATAAATGGTTTAATAATTTTACGAATAATCGGTATAGTTTGGTCGAATTCTTGTTACACTTTGATAGTGTGATGGACACACAACAAAACACATCAATGAAGTTACAAAATGATTGTGAAACCCATTTGGCCGAGCTAAAAACCCCGTTGTCAATTTAAAATTGTGACTTATCTGTGTTCACGACGACGATATTCTATCGTGTGCAAAATGAAATTTGTGATGCGTGTTTCAAATGTCGACCTATGAATTTTTCTGAAAATGACGTCGCATGGAGTTTATGATCAAAGTCATTGGGGGGAAAACATTTAATGTGATGTACAATGTGAGCCTGAATACATGTCAATTTTCTTGTAAGCACTTCGAGATGTATGGATGGTTGTGTAGGCATGCTTTTGTTGTTCTAAAGGATATGAACGTAGATGTTATTCCACCCGCACACATCATGTCAAGGTGGACAAAGCTCGCTATTAGCAATCCTATGTTCTGTATACTCGACAACATTTCTGAAGAATGCGCCCAAAGAGACGATCGGAAGACGATGGTTAATCAGTTGTGGTCCGACATACATATATGCATGGGTTTGGTCGAGAATCGCTTGGAGCATCTTGTTGAATTTTCCAAGATAGTTGGGGCACATAAGCAAAACTCATGGAATATCGGGAGAATGATTCATCGGGCAATGACAGGGGACATATTTTTGAATCGTTCGTTGGCATGTCCGCACCATCAGAGGTAAGTGGGAGAAGGATGAAAACCAACAAGGAGAAGTCAATTGAGTCAAGCAATAAAAAAAGAAGGCTTTGCAAGACATGTGGAGAAAGGGCGGGACACAACACATGAACACGCCCTAAAAAGCAGTAAACTTACCATTTCATAATTAGGTAAATACCATTCTATCATATCATTCGAAAATGAACTTGTCTGTACAACTATTAACTTTACAAACATATTTGAATTTTGTTATATTGATTCTAATTATTATAGAATTTTGGCTAAACGTGCCATCTTCTTTGGATCTGTCGTTGCAACCTGGTGGTCTTTCTTTGGTACTCGATAATCGTAAATTAACCTTATGCATTACAAGATTTTTTTACACGTCTGCATATTTCACAATGTATGACCATCGATCACAAATACTAATTTGTACATATTTACAATGCAGGCACTGGGGACCTTCAATCGAAAGCGCGGGGATATCATGTTGACATCATCTATAGCACATGTTGTGCTCGAATTTATTCCATATAAATTACAAAAAGAAAAATATAAACATTGTTATTTATGCAAAGTCGCCACACTGGTGGTTATTATATGTGCCGTCAGATGGTTATTATATGTGCCATCAGGCTAATATTACAAACGTGATCGTTTTGTTATTTTGTATTCGCAATTATGGTGTCATTGGACTTCTTAATTTTTTATATACTTTAAAATTCTTATATACTTTGGATCAGCTTATGATGTAGTATACGATATATAGCTAATTTATGATAAATATGTATGTATCTATCTAATAATTATTCACTGAGGTGCGAACATTATCAATAAATCAATAGTTATTATTCTGTATGGGTTGCGCAATAACACCAATGTGATGCACTTCACTTATGAACGAGTTGCACTTTAAAAACCACATCGAAAACACGTCTCCAATTTGTGTAATAATAGATCCAAACTTAATAACGTGTCATGTCACAGCCCACGTACGTTGACATATAACCCTTACAAATGTTACGATTTTACTAATCCAAACGAATATCATGTAGTATGAATGATGTTGTGCACTTTATTGTATACAAAAGTGCACAATATTTAAGTCATGAATGCACTTTACTACATATGTTATACACAATATAAATATATATCACCAAACCATGAATATTATAACAATGGTGACAAACACTAATACTACTACTACCACTAATAATAATGATGATGATAATGATAATAATAATAATAATTAATAATAATAATACATGTATATACACACATGACGTGTTTTTCGTACATACCGTGGTCGCGTATTGCACAATAACACATACATTATTGCACAACTGTATGTAAAATATGCGCATTATAAAAAAACACGATGTGAACATGCGTACCCTACCAGGGATCGTTTATAAGAAGCACTCGTCGATATCCCACAATATAAATGTAGTCGAAATACAAACCTGCCCACGTGAAACCACCACATGTACTAAATTATCTGATTCAAATCCTAGAAAGTTAAACATTCATCGATATTCACATGGTACCAACACGAAATAACAATAACAGAATGTTTCGCTACCAGCGAGTTTCAACAAACACCATTGTTCACATAATACCAAAAACACGTACTAGACCACCAAAAGTTTCATCACGTATACATTTCGACAAACTTTAATATCTGCATGGTGTCAAAACGGGATCTAACACAAAAGTGTCACCACCCAAATAGTTCAATAAACGCTCACACTTACGCTGCTTTTTCTCCATATACAGAGGTTGGTATTTCGTCTCCTCTAAAAGGTTTGTGTACTGTAGCTTGTTATTCGGGGCACATGCTATGACGTAGCTATATCTTTTCCTCATAAGTTTCATCTGGCTCGTATCTCTCATCTTGATCTCTGGGTTCTAGCATTTAGTAAATACACCTTTAAATGTCTCCAATGGCGCATCGTGATTACGCCATTGTCTGCCACATCGACACCTTCAGTCCAGGCAAGGCGAACGACTTCAGGGACAGACAATGCAACAGATTTGGATCTCATTACTAAATTCATCTCGCCTAGATACTTCGAGAGTGATAGCCGCTGTGAGAAATGGAAAACATAATCATTTTACCACACTAAACAAAATTGTTCAATTACACTATAAGAAAATTATAACATTACCAAAAGCTTAGCACAAGACATGATTACTTTCTCAACATCCGCGTCTTTACAAGTACTTGCACTATTTAAAATGGTGAACTTTGGGAATTCTGGCGCCATACATAATAAGTGTAACGCCCCGTTCAATTTATAGAGTTTCTCGAAATATTCTATTTATCGAATGTTATTTATAAAGTTATATCCACTTTATTGGTCGCGAGGTCGACTTAAATATGAGGTTGGAATACTCGATCGTTTATTGAAAAACGTTCGTTGTTCGGCGATTTCAGTTTAATCGCGTGAACCGAATATAATCCGTTTGGATAATGGATTTTACGAATATTTTGGCATTATTAATATTATTATTATCTTGCCAGAGTGAAATAATTTCTTGATAATATATTTATTAGGATTGTGTGCTAATAACTATATATTATGTCGGTTTTGTAAATTTAAAGACTTTCGGGTCGTCATATTTTATTTTTCCGAGCGTCATATATATTCGGATTTTATGAAATTGAGCCCGATAAACCGGTAGTCGAAACAGGCAGACTCGTAAACCGTTATTTACGAATTATTTGGGATTATATTATTATTATTATTAAATGTTTAATTGCTTATTAATATTGATTGATTTATGTGTGTATTATATATATATAATTTCAAATTTTATTTAATTTGTCGTATGATCGAGCTGAGATATTTTCGGGCTAAGTCGAGCCCGTAAAAATATCAAAAACCGAGAGCCGAATTTATTTTGAAACTCACACTTGCGCGACCCGGCCCGAGAGCTGGCCCAAATTCCTGGAAACCGCGCCCAGCCGAATCGTCGACCCAGTCCGCCCCATACGTGTGTGTGTATTATGTGTCTTGAGGAATAAGATGCTAAACCTAGTATATATATGTGTATATCGATCTCTCTCCCTTAGCAGATTAATTGACGCCCCGCAGCTTTCTCTTCCTCACAAATCTGCTCGAATCTCTCGACAAAAGAAAAGCCGCGATCCCTCTTCTCTCTCACGCAAAACGCCCGACACGCTCATCTCTCTCGTTGAAACCCTTCCCATCACCATCTCCTTTCTCCTCCCGCCAAATCGCTGCTCTTCCCCGTCTGAAGAGTC